ATCTTAGACATTAAACACACACGACAAATTTTTTTAACTTTTTAGTGCAAGTTTCGCCATACTTATGCTACCTAAGGATTAAAATGAATGAAATAATTGCATATAGTTAAATTTTAATGAAAACTGATACATGACATGTAGACAAACAAGGATATGAATATGTGGAACGTGGATATAGACATAATGAAATATGAAACGTGATACGTGGATAGGTAGTTATTTACATGAATCACACTAATAGAGTCAATTATAAAAAACATTTAATAAAAACGACGATTTTTTTAAAAGCAAACATGTTTTGACGTTGACACATGTTTGCTTTTAAAAAAATTGTCGTTTTTAGTAAATGTTTTTTAAATTTGTTGCTAGTAAGAAATTATAGTGTACTATGTCTTTGTCTATCTCTTTTGGCTATCCAGATATCATGTATTTTATTTCATGATAAATTAAACTCATTCATCTGCACTGAAGATGGCATAAGTGTGCACATACAAGTATGAATCCATAAAGTTAAAACAAAGTTGTCATATTAAAATGTCTGATTTCAATCCTACTGCTACAAAATAATGCAAATTTTAATCTTTAAGAAAGTTAAACTATTCTTAAATTTGTCAAATTTCTGTTTTTTGTACATTATAAACATACGTATTTCTCAGAGGAAAACTCAATTCTAGGCTGAAGGAATTGACAACCGTAATCCTGTATTAAGCCAGTTGGTAATTTGGTTTAAAGCTTTAAGCGCAATAAAACTTAAAAGAATATTATATATGAAAGCTTTAAGAATATTCAATAGCTCTACTTGAAAATACCTAACCTCTTGCCCTCAAAAAATTCTTTAATGAGAAACAGAGGGAAATGCTGATGTTTTCATGGTGAAAAACCTCTATTTCTGCTTTATTCATTAATGAAACAAAACTTTGTAGTAGTCATGAATAAAATTTTACAAAATATTATGAGTGTTAGTATTACTTATGATCTGACTTGGTGCATATTTTTAGTAGCATGGCCAGGGAGGGAACTGAGGTGGACGTGTACCAATTATCTTAAAGACAAAAGTTGAGATTGAAGTTTGAGGGGAAATAAATCCAACTTCGAACAGTGATAAAAAAATTTACTTTCTGTAAATGGCACATAGCAAATTATGTATAGTAAACAGCAATCGTAGACCATTGTTGTCTGTAATATTGACTTTAATACATTTGCTGACACATTGAAGTTTCCTAGATTTGATGGTTGCATCCACCTAGTATGAACAACCTGGCACTGTCACTACATGATTTTAAGGATTATTGTGATGAATTGCACCTAGAATATCTTTAGAGGGCCTTAAGTAGGCCTTTGTAGGTGAATGTTTATGTCATTTTCTAATGTAATTGATAACATGGTTTGAGCTGTTAAATGGACAGTTAATACCATTACCATTAGGTTATGTCCTAAATTTGTTAATTTATAATCCAAGGTGTTTCCACTGTAAGATATTACATAGCGTAATCATGCTAGTTTAACCAGTTAATTAGTTAACAAGTTTAATGTTTCAAATTTACAAATATTTTCACAAAAATACACTAATGGCGCTTTTGAGCAATAAAAAATAAATTATGATGCAGGATATATAATTCATAGTTTATACATCAAATTTAAAAAAACATTCTGGGAAAGGAAAACGGTCGATTAACTACATAAAATACTGCACCAACTTTCCAACTATTTGTTCGCAACGATATGCGTTATCGCTGACTATTATTTTGTATTAAACCAGTTTCTGAGAAGAACAGAGTAAATTTAGACGTAATATAAACTTACCCAAGTGTAAATCTTTCACAAGAAGATCAGCAAATTTAAATGTGCTCGAAAGTGCCATAAGTAGATCGCTTACCGCTAAATTTACCAAGAGAAAATTTGTTGAATCGTGCATCCGGCGATTTGTGAGTACAATCCAGCATACAAGACAATTGCCCAAAACGGCAAACAGAATAACGAAAATATATATTGGTAAATATATTGCAAAAGGTTTGTTGTAAACTTTCGTAGAGTTAGCAGCAACGTCATTCAAAACTATTCCATTGATTTCTAACATAATCGTTTAAGCAGTACAAATTCCGTATTGTATACACAACGCAAGATACGAAAATACGTCCACATGAGCTGTATAATTTGCACTTCATCATATAGCAAGTATTACTTCCGGTGAAAAGCGTGTTTTAAATCGGAAATTAAACGACACTTTCCTGGAATCCTGGGAGCAGGGGCGTCACATTGACCTACAATTTGGGGGGGAGGGGGTGTAGCAAATATTTACCTGAAATTTTACTGTTTTCCTAATATGCATTTCGCCGAATTATAATTTTTAGTTAACATGCGTATAGGAGTTTTAGGTTTAGAGGGTAGTGGTTTACTTGTCCAAAGTTCAAACCCCCTCTAAAAGCCATTGTAGTAATTTTTAATCACATGTATTATCAATTGGTCGTGCAAACTATTATCCACCGATTTGTAAGTGAAAATGAAGGACATACTGCCATACCAACTTCCTACTTCACAAATGTTAAGATATGCTCAGATATTCTTCATGTAATTAGTAAATAATTAAGTCAAGTGTAACTAACTAAATGATTATTTTAAGAGATACTTATGTGCAATAATTACAATATTTTTTATATTTCCTAATAGCTTTCCGTTGATTTTAAATTAACCATATTTAGTAAAGAAACAAATATATCCAAACGTAATATCTTGTATAAATAGAAGCAGTTAACTATTGTAAGATAGATCGTAGACCATAGACATTGACGTTGAACATTAAATGTGATCATAACAGTTATCTGTAATACCTCCATTTGTTGGTGTAACTCAATATATACTAAAGAAGGTAGATGGTTACATCACAGAACCTAACAACAAAAACATTTTGTTGACTTATACGTCTATACACCATATTTAGTTTTATGAAATAATACATGACTTTATGCACAATTTTTCTTTTTTCCTCGACTATTTTGGACAAGTTTTGCAAAGTTTAAGGGACATTCCCTTACTCCTCATTTCGTACGTCTAACGTGCTAACTGATAGTTTATTACTTCATGTACACCATGTTGATTAATTTTATTGATGTATATTATTATTTCTCAAACCAACTATGCATTCACAAAACATCATAAAAATAGCGTACAATACACACGACATTTAGAAAAACGTAGGTCTTCTTTTTTAAAACCTGCTTTCTTTAGTTTTTCTGGCAAGAAACCGAAAGTCAGAAGTGCCAATGAATAGAAAAGAAAAACGCCAAAAAGAAAATCACCAATAAATCCCATGTGACCGACATTGTCAAAGATAAAAGTGGCTGCGCGGGGACATTCATGTGCGAAAAAAAAACAGTCGAATTTACAGCCATTTTAAATTGACCGTGTGGCCTTCATAAATTAATGTTTGTATAGTTTCAAAACTTGACGTTACTAACGGGAAACTCATTGTTGCTAAGGCGTACATATGCATTAGTATATATTGTTTTTATTTAATAAACAGCTGCGACATGTTGAAATTTAACAAGTATCGAAAGACGTTTGAAAGCGTTAAATTCTATCGTTAGATATAAGACATTAATTTGATATTAGTAAGACATAGTTTGTTTTTGTATTAAACTCGGGGAGCAGCACTTTGTTATTAACCAATACAATCTAAGGTTTACATCTTGGCATCAAATAGATAGCTGTTTAGTAACGTCAAGCTAGCCGTTAGTAACATCACGTTTTGAAACTATAACAAACAGCACAGTCAATGGCAAACTGCTGCATAGTCATCACAAGAGAGATGAATCAAAAACAACTTTTTAATTTTAACGTCAAAAATATTCCGATCTGGTGTATCTTGCTTCATTCATTACAGTACGCCATAATTATAATACAAGTTAAGAAGAAGCAAACCCCCTCTCCCATGTGACAGGAAAAGTGACAGAGTTGTTCTTACAAAAAAATCAACAATATATTCCATCATCACCCCCACTACGGTATGAAAATCACTCTACTTAGGATGAATAGAGTAAAGTGTGATCGAGATCCGATAATTTTATTTCATTTTCATAGTTGCAAAATGGATAAGAATGATGATTTGTTACAAAACGAAGACGCACTGCAAGAGCCATTAAAAATATAAAAGTTTTATAGTTCAAAGGCTGCTGTTCAAAGGCATGTTGGACATCTTGGATTTACAACAGGGATGATTGCAGCAACATTTTTCGCTCCGCTTCTTATGAAGCACTTATCGTAGTAGTCTGCGAGTTTCTCTCGTTGTAGCTTATTCTAGATACATAGGGATGATTTTAGATGACCTCGAGCTTGTGCAACCCTCGACCTTTGGTCTCGGGCTTGCACTGATCTGCTCTCAAGTTCTCCCAAAGGTCTGCCCGGTTTGCATAAACCTGTGCAAACGCAGTAAACATCTTCTATTTCCTAAATAAAGTGTAGTGCACTTTCAATTCTGTTTTCCAGTTAAAAGTGAAATAAAAATTGTTAATGTTATGTTAAATAATATTGATTCATTTTCGAAAGTGTTAACATGGCCTTTTTAATGGTTAGCTAAACTTTTTGTGTGTGTTAGGTTAATCAATTTCACATATGTGATATAAAAAAAAGACCTGATTTAAAACCGTTGAAAAAGCCTTTCAATTAAACTTTTTAAATGGTCATCTCAGACTCATCCAAGCTCCGTATTTGATTTTGTTATTTCAACCCATCAGTTTTTACTTCACAATACTTTATTTCAGAACAACATGTAAATACATAATTATTAAGAAAAAGGAAACCCAGAGGTTAGCCCTATATCAAGGGTCTACTAAATATTTACAGTATGGTGAATATTTGCTTCGTCAGATTGAAAAACGGTTTTTATTAAAATGACTGGATTTTACCAGCAAAATATTTTAACAGACTTGATATAATAGTAATGTAATATAAGCTTTAACAATCGAAGTAGTTGTCATAACCATAAAATTTGTAGTAGCGAGACAATGCCGAGCGGAAATCGAATTTGTATGATAAAAAATAATGCCAACATAAAGCTTTATGGATTCTCAGGTTAGCAGTCCGATAGATGCGTGAGTCGGAATCGTATAGATTATAAGTAAATTATTTTTATTCGATCTAGTAAATAATGATATAGTATAAATAACAAATGTGCAGTTTAACAGTTTACCAAACGAAAATACATGAACTCACTTCTTTGCCGGGTCCTCACGATCTACATTAATTTCAATACAGGTTAGCCGATATAATAAAGTAATACAATGATGAAGCTTTCGCCCAGGTTAGCATGTGTTAACTGTCCCTTTCTTTCAGAGGTCGGGTGGAGCTGGAGGAGTCTGCCAACAGGGACAATTACGTCGAATTGATAAAACTGCTAAGTGCATATGACCCCACGCTTGAACAGCATCTTCATACAGCAACCGTGTTTTCTGGACTTTCTAATTGTATCCAGAACGATTTGATTGTTGCTGTCAAGGACGTTATGTTGAAAGCAATAAAAGATGAAGTGATGAGGAGCCCATTTGTCGCTATTTCCCTGGATGAAATCTCCGACGTTAAGACCTTATCGCAGCTAACAACTATAGTTCGCTATGTCAACCCAGATGGTAAAGCTGTGGAGCGCTTTCTTGGATTTACCGATGTAAGTGAGGATAGAACTGCGGCTAGACTGAAACAAGAAATCGGTAAAACCCTGAACGAGTACGGATGCGGCGAAAAACTGATTGCCCAAACGTATGACGGTGCGAGTGTGATGTCAGGAGAACTGTCCGGTTTGCAAACACGAGTAAGAGAAGACTATCCACATGCTCTTTTTATCCACTGTTACGGACACGCATTAAATTTGGTCCTTGTTCAAGCTGTCTCGTCAACTAAAGAGTGTCGTATATTTTTGAAAACCGTCACTGGTCTTTCATCCTTTTTTCACGCCTCGTCCAAGAGAACATACCTGTTGGACACAGTTGTCGGCAGACGCATTCCCACTGGAACAGCTGTTCGATGGCACTATCAGAGCAGGTTAATCTATGCTGTACTGGAGACAAGAGCAAAGCTGCTCGAAGTTTTCGAATACATCATCGAAAATGATGACGAGTTTGACGGTACGACGTTGAACGAAGCGAGGGGCTACCGACAAGTTCTTGCAGATTTCCAGTGTGTGTTCTGCCTTAAAATATTTTCAGAAATATTTGGTCTTACGGATGTTTTGTATAATATCATTCAGAGTAAGCAGTTCGATATTGTCTTTTGTGTCACGAAAGCTCGCGAGACGAAAGATAAGATTCAAGAACAACGAATAAAATTCGTAGATTATTGGAATTTTACGTGAAGTATCGTCAAAGTAGCACTGAAACGCGGGCAAAGTGAAGAGGATGTAAAGGCGTCCTTCCGTCAAATATTTTTCTGTGTAGTCGATACCATTGTCGTGCAGATTGACTCTAGATTCGAAAGTCTTAACAGCAGAGCATTCGTTTCTTTGTTGGATCATTCAAAGCACGAATTGTACAGCCGGAATTTTCCCGAACGAGAGCTGCAATCGTTGCAAGATTCATATGGAACATTCTTTAATCTTCAAGCACTAAAAGTGAACTAATCGTTGTATACGCATCTGCCGAGCTCAAATCGAAACCTGTTTTGATATGATATCAAAATAATCGAACTTGACTTGAAAGCCTGTTTTCCAGAGGTGTACCGATTGTGTCAGCTCATTCTTACTATGCCAAGTACGTCCTCCTCTGCAGAAAGATCATTTTCGGCTCTCAAGCGTATCAAAACGTATCTTCGCAGTACACAAGGGCAAGAGCGACTTTCTGCATTGGCTACAATTTCAATCGAGAAGGAGATGTTGGTAAGTTTGCAGGGGAAGCCACGATTCTATGAGGACGTTATAAAGGAGTTTTGCGCAAAGGAAAGACGGATGGAATTTACATTTAAGTAAATCTGTTGTAGGATTTTGGACTATTTCGTTCTGTTACTTCTTCATTACAATAGAAATGCACGCGTAGCCATTTACTTAAAACGACTTTATATCACAATACCACATGTAATACTTTTAAACCGTAATTGTGATATATACTCTATAAAAGTTTTTGAATTTTTTAGATTTTTTCAATACTGTTTCAGTCATGACAGATACATTTTTTCGACAAAGTACTCCCAGAAATCGCGGGAAATGCGCTCCAGTAGCCTTCAAAATCCAAAAATTTTCTGGGGGAGCATGCCCCCAGAACCCCTAGATAGCTTCGCGGCATGCCGCGAAACTCACCCCCAGCGCTTGCATATTAAATTCGGTCACCGCACGCCACTGGAACAAATATACATTGTTTTACTGTTATGTCCGAAATGGTTAAGGTTTATATTTCAAAAACAGGTTTTGTAATAATGTGTGTGTTAAAAACCTCGTCTTCAATAAGGTTTACTAATGAACCACGAATGCAATAATAGAAATGATTATAATTTGCTTGCCACGATGATCTAAGGGGTTTTTGTGGGAAACGCCCTTTTGCCAATAGTTTTACAGAGTTTCTCATCGGGAATTTTATATTCGTAAGATCTTATGAATTTCTGATAAAAAGACCTGGTGAATCTCACATAAAATATAGATCCACAAACTCCCAAGAAAAACGAATTAATATATAAAATAGAAGACTGAGCCGCAGCTAGACGATAAGAGAACAAGAAATAATCGTGATGGGTGGGAATGTGTTAAGTCAATGTACACATTATAGTGCCTTTTGAAGATGTTATTAAAAGACCCGATATGCAAGAAAAAGAAACTACTGATGCCATTTGAAGAAAAGATTGTAGTTCATAGTAAGATGGAATGCTTGAAAACCAAGAAGATGAATCGTTTTCATTTAGTGTTTTAACTTTTTCATGCAAACCAATCACCGTATTTTTGGTGGCACTATCTGAAAATCACTAAATGAAAATCATAGATTGTCGGCCTTGTTGTCATTGATTGGGTTTCATAAGTCACCTTAATTTTCAATGGGATTTGAATGAGATAATATACGAGTGACAATATTATCACGACATTGGCAACTATAATGTTCAATCACCAGATCTACAAATGTTTCAATCCTTGACGAAGTCCAAGGAATTTTCAGCTAGAGGCTGTCCAAAACTAACAGGATGAATGCCTTAATGAATAAAACTACCCACAAAATAGTAAGAGAGTCTTGATTGCATTCTGAATTAACAAAGTTTTGGTATACAGAGTTCATGAAATGATCTGAAATGACAAATTTGGGGAAATTTTAAATGTTCTGGTGACCATGATGAATTTGTTCTTGAATTCGATGCACTGGGACAATCAACAACTCCAAGACATTCGAAACTGCCTGATGTTATTTGTACAGAAGTCATAAGAGAGGACAACGCCAAGTTTCACAAAACCAGCCATTACGATATCCCAAAAATTTGTAAGAAATTTGAACTTTTCTTTTCCACCATTATAGAAAGATTCCCAAGATAACATCGTGATAAAGTTATTTAGAGTTGATGATAGTAAGAAAAAACTGCTTCGTATGCTTGATGGTTTTTGCGCTACGCGTCACAATATTTCAAAGAGGCTTGGCAAATAGCTATAGCATTCCTTCTCTTCCTGCACAGCAGGTACAAAAATTCCCAACAAAAACTAAATATAACTTTAGTTTATTAACTTTCTCAGGGAGCATTTTAGTGATTGTAATTTTGCTTCGTATATACCAATTAATATTATCTTCACACAAATTTACGCTTTATTTTTCAAATTTCAGGCATCGATGAGTCATGAGTGCTTAATGCAAACTAATGTTGAATGTGTAGAAAAATTGTAATTTGCGCAAATTGAATAATTTACTTGCTGAAAATACGAGCGCATGACTAGGTTTGTTTGAGGAAGTGCAAACGCTTAAAGTGCATATAAACCTTACAAGATTTCAGTATGGTTTGAAAGATTAATTCATGAAATGAACAAAATCAAGAAATAAATTGATCAACATTAAGTCTATCTTTGGAGATTGCTGTTTGAAATCCAAATATTCGGTATATATTTTTAACTAATAGGTCTTGTATCGAGCAAATGTTTCGACGTCATGTGAGGAACACAGTCGCGTAAGCTCTATTCAAAACAAATTATTTGCTTTTTAAATAATCAATATTTCCCCCGATATATCGAGTATTCCATGTTTTTTTTAAATGTTCTCGTCTGAGTGGGAACCTTAATCTTTAGATTCTTCAGGAAAGGAAAAATATGATATTGAGATGGAAGACAGTGTATTAGCCGCAACAAAACACTCGAATTCGGCAACACTCATGGCATATTCAGCGCACATTGGATAGTGTAAAAACCACGTAAGGTTTATATGCGCTATAGGGGAAACACTATGCATTACTAAAGTTTCGATTCTCTATGCAATGAAAAGTGTGCTTCAACTCATTTCAGTAATAATCTTTCTCTTCTTTAATATTTATTTCTTGAAACATATAAATAACACAATGACGTGTCACTGACTCAGCACATTCCCTTCGATTACGATTATTTCCTATGTTCCCATAGCCCAGCTTCCGCCATGTTTTGCTTATGTTTATGTTGTGTTTTTGGCATTGAATGGAGTAAAATTGCAAAATTGCTTAAAATAGTTTTTTGAACATTAATTTATATTGCTTTCTAAGCAATGTAAATATGATTTTTCCAATGAAATACGTCAACAAATTTCTTTCCGAAAAGCACAAAAACAGTATTATTTTGGATTTAGCAGGTTTAAAAACCGCAGTAGATAGAGACCAAAAATTATCTTTTCACAGTCTTCCGGAAATTCTTCCTATGAATTTTGATCAAAAAATTTGCAAAACCTCTTGAAACTTGAATTTAATAAGTGCCATCTTAATTAAGATCATTTCAAGGACTTCAAAAACATATACACAGTAACTTTTGGTGGATAAAAATCAACCTTAAAAGTTGGAGGTAAAATTTGAATACATTAAAATAAGAGTAAAATTTACACCCCTAATAAAGGGAGAACTTACCTTTTAACTTGAGGTAGATTTTTTACTTTTTTTAGTGGTAAAATTTTCCTTCGCCTCTTTTTACAATTTCACCACTTCATTAGGAGTAACTTTGTTATACGAAACTTCCTATAAACTGCAGGCCATTGCACTAATTTATAAATTTACTTTATTTAACTTAGTATATAAACAGCGAACATGAGCCTGCAGTATTACAATACAAAAATAATTCAAAATCTGTAATGTAATATATATGTATCGAAAAAATAACAAAAACTAAAGTTTCATCACGACAAGCCTGTTTCGGGATTACTCACTCTTTAGGGGATTTAATGATAAATAAATACTTAAATGTTTTATTGAAATATATATACACTCTGCTCTTTTGCATCGAGCTCTGTTTCTTACGGAGAATCATCACACAAAAACTTTCTATATACATATATATAAACACAGGTGACTCTACGAAACAATCCACACAATGTATAACCGTGCATCCTGTGCCCAGGTGCAAGAGTCCCCATTTTACTATGGTGATAACATAACAGGGAGGGTACAGTGTTATACACTTGACGTTTATAGTACACGCGCAATGATGTATTAGAGATTAACTGTAACTCGCCTATTCACAATCTATTATAGTTTTATAAACTTCTCGATTAGTCTTATATTTCTCGAAGAAATGGGTGCCTCCCCTCACATAGTCTGTTGTTTTAAAACTCATACAATATTTTCAGACTGCACATAGTATAAGAAAAAATATTTTTACATAGTCAGTGCATAACAACGATGCAATGCAAGTAAAAATATGGAGAGTACCCAAAATTATGCAAAAGATCCTTCACATCCAAAGAAAATGCAGCAGTGCAAAAAGTGTGGACAGCTCATAAAGGACATACAAAAAGTCATTGTCTACAAGAATTATTTGACAAACATTCTTAGGAGGCTAACTTTTATGTTAGTAATATTATAACATACTATGCTATAGGGAATGTTTCCTATACTTTCATTAGTTTATTTCCACTGTTAATTTGTAGCCAGCATATTCTTGGCCTAGATGATTTTTGTAAAGAAAACCGTTTGCAAATGTCTGTGTTGATGCATGCAGGTAAATGTCTTGATTTTTCCAAACCAAAGCATCCACACAGCCTTCGAATGATCTAACAGTGTGAAACTGCTCTTAAGTATCTATGAGAAATTCAAAACATTAAATGTTTGTTTGACTATTTATTTTGGCTTAATACAACAAATGTGAAGCATGACAAAATACAACACAAAACAAAATATATAAAGATTAAAGTAATGATCCATGGCAAGATTTTAATCTTTTTTTCTACT